TGTATATTGTGTCTGTTCCTTTTGTTGTTTCTACATAATTAGGCCTGCTGTACACAAGTGAGTAGATGTCTTGAAACCTTCAGTTCTTTTCCTTGCTCCCTTCACTTTTTTCAGCAGTTAATTACCCTACTTGCTATAATCAACTTCACAGTGATCCTCCTGTAGTTTGTTTTTAAAAAAATGAAGGAAAAAAAATCTTTCGTGCCACTAAATAGCAACACTGGACTTATCACACACTACTGGAATTTCAGCAAATTGAACATGACTGGGATATGTTCAGCCTTTTCATCTGCAATATTGATACATTAAGGATTGCCAGAGTATGGTAATTTTAAAAATAGCAATTATAAATTCAGGAAAAAACATACAGAGATGAGGAAGATGAAATAAATTCTTAGTTGAGATGATAATGAATTCCTGGCCTTGATACTACATTTCTGCTGTTACTTCGAGCATTCCCACCAATGGCAACTGATAGCTACTGGTATGCTTAAATCTTGGATTACTAAATTGTTCTGTATAAAATGGCGGAACAGGTAGGGAATGAGGAACCCAGCCGGTTTACATTAGAATGAATTTTCTTGGCTATCAATCCACTATTTCAGGTGCACTGAATTGTTCTGCATGAGTCAGGAATGCATACTTTACCACAGAAGGAGAAAAAGAGTCTGAGGATGTTTTTGCCCCCTATCAAATAATGGATGCATCAATCATTTCTATGACTTTATACATTGGTTAAAAGCACTGAACGATAGGAGCAAGCTAGGTTCTCAGAAAATAAATGGGTAGATAAAGCCAGAACATTTTACCCCCATTTCTGTTTAACAAGAATAGAGCGGACTACCTTAATTTTGTATCTTCCAGAAGTTCTGGGCCACAGCCCACATTATAGTCAGCCAATGTGGCAATGCATCGTGCTGGGTGGGGATCATGGGAGCGGTAATAAAAAACATCTAGATGACACTAGTTGGGAAAAGCTGGGGACTTGGGGATTATGGGGGGTTGCAGATTGCCAGAAATAGTGCAAATTGAGTCCACTTTAAGGGTTAGGGTTAGGCTTAGGGAATAATGGGAACTGTATTTTATTGTGGCACCAGAGCTCTCTGACAGAGAAGGCTCAATGTCTCAGAAAAAAAGCAGTTCCCATGATTCCCTAGCACTAACCCTAACCCTTAAAGTGGACTCAATTTGCACTAATTGTTTGCCTGTAGCAGCAGCTGCAAGGTAGGTAAAAATTCAATTAGTACAACCTTTTCCCATGATTGAACTTCCTGCCACACCGGAAGTAGCAGCTGTTGTATTTTGCCTGTTAGATAAGTATTAATGGCATAGAACATCCATCAGGAAAATGCACATGAAATGTTAGTTGTTTCATATAAGTCTAGCCATCAGTGCAAATTTGAGGATAATTCTCCTAGTTGGCTGGTGTAATTTGTTTAAAGAGATACATGCCCAGCCACTTTTGATTATGAGTGTATTATGAATGTTTATTGCAACTGTATATCTCAGAATATTTGGGTGCTCTGTATAGTTTGTTATTATAGGTGAGTGGTGTAAGACTATACCTATGATAGGTAGAACACAAAAGATGTTTCTTAGTAGCTGTTCATATATGTATAGAGCCAATCCTGTCATTAGGCAAAATGAAGAAACAGCTTCATGTGCCTGATGCTTCTGAAGTTCTAGGGGTTGCAGCAAAACAGGGTTCTTACTCAGCCTTCTGAACTTTTCTCTCCATTGGAGGGCATAACTGGATACATCACAGCCTGTGCTGTTCAGGTGTATGAAGAAAGCTGTTCCATTTTAGTATTCAAGTAGTGGCCCAATCATCTTCTATATGTGGACTAAGGCAGTATCTTGTCCTTTGCCTCTGATGGCAGAGTATCTTGGGGTAGCTTTGCATGCATGTATTTTTAAATACATTTTAATATATTTTAAATACATTTTAAAATATACAATATCCAGAGGAGGGCCATGAAATTGGTGAAGGGTTTGGAAACCATGCCTTATGAGGAGTGACTTAGGGACCTGGGTGTGTTTAGCCTGGAGAAGAGATGTTTAAGAGGTGATATGGTAGCCCTGTTTAGGTATTTGAAGGAGTGTCACATTGAGGATGGAGCAAGCTTGTTTTTTGCTGCTCCAGAGACTAATACCCAAAGCAATGGATTCAAATTAAAGGAAAAGAGATTCTACCTAAACATTAGAAATAACTTCCTGACAGTAAAAGCTGTTCAACAGTGGAACACACTCCCTTAGATAGTGATGGAATCTCCTTCTCTGTAGGTCTTTAAATACAGGCTGAATGACCATCTATTAGAAATGCTATGATTGTGATTTCCTGCATGGCAGGGAGTTGGACAGGATGGCCCTTGTGGTCTCTTCCAGCTCTGATTCTATATCTACACCTCCCTACATACAAATATTCAAAAGGGAAGGCAAATCATGCCAAGGAAATCCCATGCCTTAAAGGTGCCATAAGTCGGAAACAAACAACATAACATAACATAAGTCGGCAAACAACAACAGCAACAATAACACAATCCTTTTCTAGTAAGACCTTTTTTCTCATGATATGGCCAAAATACAACCACTTTGGTTTAATCCGTTTAACCATTTTTGCTTTAAGGAGAGTTTGGGCCTGATCAGCCTCCATTAATTATTATTAATTATTATTAATTATTATTAATTCTCCAGCTCTTGTTGGCACTTGGGCCTGTGGTTTCTTTCCCTCAGTTGCACACTCCCACTGTCTCAGCCAGCTGTGGCACACACATGTGTAGCTCCCTTTTGCCAGCTGCTAGGATGGGGAAAGTGTACCTCACCAGCTTGCCCATGAGGGATATGGGCTCTTTGTTCTGTGTATAACTATGATTTCCCAGGGGACTTTTTTGCTGCCACCAGATTGTGGAATGACCCACCGAAGAAGATAGGACAACTGAAAATGCTGACTGCTTTTAAAACAGCATTAAAGACATACCTTTCCGGCAGGCCTACCCAGTCAATTTTAAATCATGATTTTTTAATTGTTATATTTTAAAGAATTAGAAGAATGTATTTTAATGGTGTTATAGTACTGCATTTTAGCTGCTGGCTTTATATGTGTGTATGTATTTTAAATTGTATATTATATTTTAATGTCATGTTGTACTACACCATGAGCCTTGAGGAAAAGTGGAAAAGAAATAAAATAAATTGTTGTTGTTGTTGTTGTTTGTACAGTGGTGTCATCAGGATGTGTGTGTGTGTGTACCACACCAGGTGACACCCTAAGGGGGTGACACCACTGCTCCTCAAACATCTGCCTTTGGGCAGAAACGGTGTGGCATTCACTGGTGTCCCATTAAAATGCTGAAGAGATGGAGTGAGTGGGATGAGGCTCAGTGGGAGGAGAAAGGAAAGGCTCCAGTTTTTTTAAAAAAATCAACATTTCAAAAAAGTAATTTTTATTTTTATAATTAAAAATATTTTGTAAATAATATTATGAAACATCACCTTTTACCAAATTTTCACTTTAAACACATGAAACTATGCATTTGTAAATACATTTAGACTGTGCATATTGTATTGTAATTTAAAAGTATAATTTTAATTGTGCTAGTTGTTTACATCACAACTATGACCATGACATTCAGTGATCTATGAGAATTATGATTTATGAGTAACTTCACTACAAACAAACATTACCAAGGATTCTGTATGGTGTGGTATGAGAGCCAGTGTGGTCTAGTGGTTGAAGTGTTGGGACTGTGACTCTGGAGACCAGGGTTTGATTCCCAGCTCGGCCATGAAAACCCACTGGGTGACCCTGGGCAAGTGACACTCTCTCAGCCTCAGAGGATGGCAATGGAAAGAAACCTGTCAAGAAAAACTCATGATAGGTTTACCTTAGGGTTGCCATAAGTCAGAAACGACTTGAAGGGACAAAACAACCGCCTTGAGCCTTGAGGAGAGGTGGGAACAAAATAAAATAAATTATTATTTATTAAAATGACTCAGCTTTCCATCCTTTCGTAAGTTGGTAAAATGAGTACCCAGCTTGTCTGGGGCAATTGGCTTACAGATTGTATAGAAATGTGAATGCTATAATAACAATAACAATAACAATAACAATGTATGGATGTGTATGTGGGTGGTTGTTTTCTAGCTGTTGTGGGAACAGCTGGGCTATGGGGGTATAAACTCAATGGGGGTATAAAGTTTCTTCCAAGCACACTTGCCAGGCACCTGTTCTTAACAGGTGAGAGGGTCCCTTGCCCTCAGGTGAGAAGGGTCTATTGTCCAGCACCTGTTCTTTTAGATGAGAGGGTCCCGTGTCCTCAGGTGAGAAGCGTTCCTTGCCAGCACCTATTCTTTTAGATGAAAGGGTCCCTTGTCCTCAGTTGAGGGGG